CGCCAGTGTCTCTCTCCGATACTGCTACCCTGCCCTATAGCGCCCAGCGCTGAAGACGACCACTATGGCTATGGCGCCCAGCGCCGAAGACTACTCCTAGCGCTACCACTACTGCCTAGCGCTGAAGACTACTTCAGCGCTCCTCCTGAGTGTTGCGACCGAAATCCTGAAGACTACAAGTGCCTACTGACCACTACCTACTGCAGGGCGGGTCAGTCCTTTATAGTGCTGGCCCGTGCAGGAGGCTGGCCGTGCAAATGCCTCCCTGGCCTAGACCCTACGGAAGCTTCCAGGCAAGAGCCTTGAAGTTCCCTGAAGTTTCCCTGTAGGGAAACAGGCTGGGGACTGTAGGCCCTGTCAGAAGGAAGCTTCCAGGCAAGAGTCTGGAAGTTTCCCTGTAGGGAAACAGGCTGGGGCTTGTAGGCCCTGTCAGAAGGAAGCTTCTAGGCAAGAGCCTGGAGAGCCTGGAAGTTTCCCTGTAGGGAAACAGGCTGGGGCCTGTAGGCCCTGTCAGAAGGAAGCTTCCAGGCAAGAGCCTGGAAATTTCCCTGTAGGGAAACAGGCTGGGGCTTGTAGGCCCTGTCAGAAGGAAACTTCCAGGCAAGAGCTTGGAAGTTTCCCTGTAGGGAAACAGGCTGGCGGTCCGAGACGGGCCCTGCAGGGCCTGTGTGGCTGCACAGTATGCCACACCGATGCTGCTTGATTTCTGAAAGTTTGCAATTGCACTTTTTCTTACATTTTTCATTATTATTATTTTATTATTATTATTATTATTATTATTATTATTACTATTATTTGTTTCATGATCAGACTCGCTCACTTCGTTGCGCATGCCTACAAACTGATGGTGGAGCACACTGGCGACAATGGCCAACTCGAAGGTCGAAGATACGGAAACCAAGACACCGTTCAGATACAAGCTCACTTCAACAGGCCATGGTGCATCGGCACCCACGCATCACAACTCTTATCTCTGTGTCCAGCACCACTGTGCACATTCATTCAACTCGGGACCACCCATGAATACCCCAAGCACACATTCTACACGCACACACACTTAAGCACAGATAGAACGACAGACACAGACAGATGAGAACAAAATGGTCAGACATGAGGGTACGGATGTGGATAGACAAACAAGAAGAAGGCACATAAGAACAGTCATACAGGGACCAACAGATAGAGCCTGATGCGTACGCGGGACACATATAGGTTGTAGGCAGGCGGGTTGCGGACAACCATGGCCGGGCTTCCCAGCCTGTAACTAGATAGGTTGCACAAGTGATCCGAGGGTGCAGGCGGCATCTATGCGCTGAGAAACGAGGTTGTGAGTGTAACAAGAGACATACCTGATGCTGGAAGCGTGCGGCATTGGCCGCTGAATAATCGTACTTCGGAGGGTTGTTGTCATCATCATCCGACATGTTGGCCTTGGCTAGAACGGATCCGCCATCTGTAGTCTGGGCACTCAATGCCAGGTAGGATAGCAACATGGGTTCTTCACTAATGATGATGGCGATGAGACCTTACCGGCATTGTCAAATTATGAGCTCCAGGTGCCTACTTATCTGATGCAACCCTTGATGCAACTCTGCTGGTGGTTCGAGGTCACGACTATCTGGTCTTGTGAATATAACGTTGTTTGATTCCTAAAGTTCGTTGAAAAGAGTCTATTATTATTAGATTATTCATATTAAATTGTTGTTATTTTATAGGCACACCCATTCTCTTTCATACATATAAACAGGCGGCGTAGCAAACCGGCGACGAGTGCGCCCTCAGATCTCTGAGAGGTGGCAACCGAGAACAAAGTTCTGATCCAAGTTCACTACTAATGACCATGACAATTCAGCGCCTACGCAACTCCCTCTGTTCTCATACGCAGGGTCACCCTGTTATCACACATGCACTGCGCAATACCTACATTTATAACGGCTGTAGCACCAACCGCCACTTACAAATATGGTTATGCTACCGCCTCACCCACTTCAGCTCTGGACTCTCTGCAGACTTCCGTGCGCAAGTCGCTGTGGCAGCACTTCCGCATGGCTCACCCAGGATTGAATGACTTGTTGGGCGCTGTTTCTTGATTTGTACTTTTGTAGCTCGTTGGTCTGGCCCCTTTTTCCATGCCAGTAGTACACGCGGTTCCATGCG